ATTCTCTTTTGTTTTTCCCAGTTGGGGTTCTCAGAGGATATCCCAAACCTCTTCGGCAGCATGGCAGAACTTGCTGCAGGCAACACTGGCACTGAGACTGTAGTTGCTGATACTGATAGTTTCGTCCTTGAAAGAATCGGCAAAGTCATCGTGGCCCTTGGCCATGGCACCGACGAAAATGGCAACACTCTCATTGGGGTTCAGCGACTCCAGGTAGTCCTTGGTACGGACCACGGGCGCCTCGAAACTCATGGTCACTTTGCGGCAGTTGGGGGGCAGGTGGTCGGTGATCGGGTTCTTAATAACCTTAAGGAGCTTTTCCTGTGAGTTTGTCGAACGGATGGAGAGTCGGTGGAGCAACTGAACCATCAGACCGGCGAACCGCTTGAATGTTCTCGGGATGCGAACGGAAGGATTGACTTCGATCAAAACGCCCTTGGCGGTGTGGATGAAAATTTGGAGCCGACCGGCCTTGTTCACGGGGGAATCGAGAAGAGTGAGCAGACACTACGGCGGGTTAGTGGGGATTCTTTTTTGACCTTGGTATTGCCACTGGTGATGTTGAATCGTACCTGGTGGGTAATATCTGGTCGGGCTTCACTGATATCACGGTTCATTTTGCGCATGATACCGATGTGCTCATCGCTGTTCAGCAGAGAAAATTTCTCATCTTTGGTCCCTGAGCGTCCACTAGAGACAGCCTTGTAGGTTTCCAGACTAGCATTGGAAAGAACCACAATCAAGCGTTGGGTGTCTTTATCATGGGATGGAATTGGCACATGCTGTTCGGCGACCAGCTGGGGAGCTCCGGAGGAGGGCAAGACTGGGTCCCTGGAGGTGAGATGTTAGACATGAAGTTGTTGAAGGTTTTTTTAAGATGATGGAATTGCGATTTAGGCGCGGGGAGGGGTAAAGGGAAGGGGGGAAATTGTGACAGATGTGACAGACGTGGCTGGAATATAATCCGAGTGGATTAGCGCCCAGCGACATGTCACACAGTCCAAATCAGAATTGATTGTAGAAGATGTTGGGAGTGATTGTAATTCGAGTGTAGTTTCTGGAGAGAAGAAAATTTCTTCCGGAATGAGATATAAAGCAAGGGGGAAAACACATAAAAAAAAAAAGGTAGAATCCAATACTTACTCGCACGCTTTCTCTTGCCAGCAGCTTGTTCTTGGTCAGACATTCTAATATGTTTTAGTATAATTGACAATAACAAAAGTTGTTGGGAGTTGAAGAGTTTTGGGGGGGAAACTCGGGGAGAAAAAAAAAAAGGAAAAGCGGCCAAATAGCCCCCGGGAGATCGGAGTCAGCTGGAATTATATAGAATCTGACATTGTATATTAACCATATTAACCATATTGATTTGATTTTATTCTGTGTGATTTATAGATTAGAGTATATTCTCCGGGTTTTGATATGTTGAAATATTTAAATACCGACATAGTAGAATAGTAGAATAGCAAATATACACGGAGTATATATGACTCTATACTATAGTTATGTATAATGTATAACTATACCCAAGTTCAATACTTCTAGAGATTCCTTTTTATTTCCTTTATTCCCTCTAATTCCCTTTTAATGTTAGCTTCAACGGTTAGTGCTTAGTGCCACTCAGCAGAGAGATCGACATTAGCCCCCCAGTTGTGCCGTTTACATACTATGCTTATACAGAGGTACTAAGGGAGTATGGAGTACTAATGTATGTATGATATGTACGATCCCAGCTCTGTTTGAACCAGCCACAATCTACTAAGGAAAGCCACATGAAGGCTTCTCTTTCATAGGTTGATAGGTCCAACATCCTCTCAATAATAGCGCATGACAAGAATATGTATTGACTTAACCTCTAGCCTAGACCCTGGTAAATGAGTAACTTTGCCAGCTACAGTACTTCCTGGAGCACAATGAATACCACCGGAGGAGATGGTTAGACCAGATGATGAGGATGTGTAACATTCTATGCATAAAATTGCGTGGGTGACTCAGAACAAACAGACCTGACTGGCCCATACCCCAGCATTGCCTCTTAGAGGACAGCGTACTCCGGACAGCAGAGAAGGGTCAGCACATATATGAAGGCCACGAATGGGTGAGAATGGTAAAGGTGGTACAAGGAAGCTTTGTCACAGGACAGCAAACCTGAGGGCCCTGAAGGAGTAGTTCTTCAGGCAATCCTTGAGACATTTGTTTAGAGTTGGAGCTTATGACGCCTCTCGTGGAAACGGACTCCGTGGTCCGGTAGTGATCGGAATGAATGTGTATTCTGTAGGCTCCAGCACTGAATACACTCATACTTCCCTGACATGTCAAGTGATCAGTTGCCAGTCTATGTGAAATCCCGGGGGGGCAGGTCTCATAGCTATATGGGGTGATCTCGTAATCTGACTTAACATCAAACCAATCACTTGACAAGATCCAAGATCTGTGTCGGGTCTTGACCCAATCAGCACGGAATAGTTCGTGTTGGGTTGGTCCCAAGCGCCCGGTATATTCCTTTAGCTGAACAGCAACCTGTATCCTGTATCCTGTATCCTGTAAGCGCTGAACATGAAGTATTAAAGCGGTCAATAAGTGATCATCACAATTCCAACGTGCGTTTCCTTGCACAATGCAATATGGGGAAGGCCTTACTGGCTAGTACATGGAAGCCTTGCACACCTTGGCAACAAGAGGCCAAGGGGGGCTCAGGAGAGTGTCATCTTTTAATCTCCCTGGTAGACTTTCACCAGTACACACAGAATAGTCTCATTGGTTGAATATTGGAGATTGGAGCCTCTGTCTGCTAATTGCCAATTGTGTACTCCATTCGTACTCCATATAAACATTATTTATATATTTATTATTGTGAATCAATTAAGAAAGGGGGAAAAAAAAAAAAAAGTAGTGCCCGACATACCAACCACAGGAATTTGACAAGGCTGGTGTGTGATTGTTATTATACTCCGTTGATCTGCACTTCATCATCTTCGCATCTTCGCATCTTCGCATTACTACTTCACTTCTCAGACTCTTTTGTCTTCTTTCTCCTTGGCCCGGTATTAATCCCGGCTGGTGGCGAGACTCTCCTTTTTTATTTTATTTTATTTTATAAAGCCCAGCTCTCCACCGGAAACTGTTGATCGTGTCCACTTCATCTTTTTTTCTTCTTTCCTGTTTGAACTTGAAACTGTCTTGAAAATCAAAGAAAACAAGATAAAACCAGACAAGACACAAGGGATAACATCTCAACTACTCCGTTGAAGGTCAGTCAGATTAGTCATTTCCATTGGAACAATATGACCTAAAACAGACTAGCGTTCCACGCGTGTGCCCCAGCTCTCTCGACTTTCTCAACTTCTTCATCCCACCTGTGCCCTGAACAAATTTTGGAAAAAAAACTCAGGGTCATGCCGTGGACAGTTACCAATTCATTTAAGAGGTATGTATATTGGGTTCAATTTACAAGGGGAAGAAACTAACATCCTTTCAAGAGGACTCATGAAAACTTACGGACGACCAACATGGCGCGTCTATGACGATGAGCGCGCCGCGAAGAAAAGACGCGTGGATGAGTCGGATGAAGCTGAGGCCAATCTACAATATGCCATCCGCGAGTCTTCAGCTGCCGTGCTGTCGAGCCCGTCGCGTCGCAACTCCCTGTTATCGGAAGGCACGCTCGACGATATTGACGATCTTACCACACCCCCATCCTCGCCACCACCACGGTTAACTCCACCGCTAGCAAATACCCGCAAGCCGACATTTGCCTTTCTCAAGCGCAAGCACAAGGAGGTCACCGCCGGATCGCCCTTGACGGAGGTTAATTCGAATAGCCTACGCTCATCCGTGGACCCACCTAAACAGAAAGGTCAAAAACAACCCGTTATGCGCCAGATGCAGATCGACTTGGGAAATGATACACGAAAGACCTGTGCTAGCTGTGGCATGGAATATATCCCATCTAATACAGAGGATGCGGCACTGCATAAAAAGTTCCACGAGATGAATGCGACTGGGATCGACCTGGGCAAGGCATTTATGCGTGCGAACGCCTCACGCTGGGTGTACGAAGCGACTCGATTCGACGAAGGGTATGTGGTAATTGTGGACCGCAAGGCGTCACCTAGCGCCAAGAGCCAAGCGAAGAAGGTTCTCGAGGTTGTCAATAAAGAGCTCTCATCACCGGAAATCGACGACGAGACCCTGTGGAGTCAAACCGAACCACCCAAACATTTACAGGATGGTCCGACCGAGAAGGTAGATCGCTACCGGGTATTTCTACACATGAAGGACAGCCGCTGTGTCGGGCTCTGTCTGACCGAGCGCATCTGGGAATCGCGACCGGTTGTAAAGGAACAAAATGGCGATGTACACAACGGCTCCTCTGTCTCGACGCGAGATGAAATCCGCCCGGCCATTGTCGGAGTCTCTCGCATCTGGACTTCCGGATCCTCGCGACGAAAGGGAATCGCTTTAGATCTCCTCGACTGCGTGGTCATCAACTTCATTTATGGCATGGAAATAACAAAGGGTCAAATTGCATTCAGCCAGCCCACGGAGAGTGGTAATCGCCTGGCACATAAGTTTTTCGAGGGTGAAGAGACATGGCATGTCTATAACGAACGATGAGTTGACTTGAATATGGGAGGGATCTTTTTTTTATTATTATTTCACAGCACTGGGTGAGGCATATGGGTGGTGGGCTTTGTATTCTCTGGAGAGCGTTTCTTTTTTTTCTTTCTCTTCTGTATCATACCTGGACCCTTTTCCCATGTAGAATAGGGAATTGGGATGTCGATTCAATATTTCCAATTTGACTGAACTATTGTCTTAATATAAGAACCTGAATACTTTGGTGCTTTTTTTACCCAAAAAAGCCTCTCGGGGGAGCCGGACTCGATCTCGGAAAGCGGCGCGTAAGGTAACTGGGAAACCTCATGGATAAGAAACTCGGCGGGGACCCCTCAATTCTTCTCTTCCTTTTCTCTCGATTCTTTAACATATTTATTCTCGCGATGTCTAGATCAAATCCTTTTCGCCCTAGAAATCAGGGTGAGTATTGTTTTTCCCCTCTTTCCCCTCCTGGGGCTTCCCCGGTAACACGGGGAGATCATCCCCAACATAACGCTGATGAATCTGGACATATAGGCAATCCCGCAGATCCATTGCCTACCAACTCGGGCACTTTTGTCCCTGTTTTGCCTCCCAAGCCTTTATCCACTCCACCTATAGCCCTGAACGATCAACGCGGGAAGTCGTCTATATCGCTCGAACGCGAGGTAGACGACTCGAGCTCCTCGGACGAAGAGACAAACCCGTTCAATCTGGTTGTGTCTGCGACCGATAGTGAGGAGGAAAGCAATCGGCACAAGAGCCCAGCTCCCTATGAGATTGATCGACCGGAATCTCTTGGGTCAGCTCCACACCAAGCTCCATCAGCAGATGGGTCCCCAATATCACCCGACCACAACATGCGGTCTGCAATAGCTGCAGACAGCTCCTATGCAGGACGTCCTGCAGCACGGTTGTCTCTAGAGCTTGACGGAAGCAGCCCCCTCGGCCGAGTCAAAGACAAGAAGCCGCCGCCTCCGCCTAGGAGTCATCACGGCCGCAGAATTGGCTCTACAGCCACCGCAGAATCCTCCCAGACCGTCCGGTCTCGGTCTACTAACCGTCTGTCAACCTATGGCTCCTCTGGGAATGTTACGCCCGGCGCCTCGCATCCCAGCTCGGTATCTCTATCAGCGACTACGGACTATTTCTCGGTCCCTGAAGCGACAGGGTCGACGGACTCGCTTCAGCGCAGCCAGTCTCAGCATAAGCGTCCTCCGACGCCACCTCTCAGTCGACGGCACAGCCAGATGCGGAGATCCAAGTCTATACAGTCCAAAACTAGCAGCAGATTAAATATTTCTTACGACTCGGAGAGCAATGATAGCTCTTTGCCTCCCAGTCCGGGCCCTTCCAGTCGGGCACCGGAAAACAAGAGAATCAGCATGCCTCCGTCATCATCGGGAGATTTCCAGGCGACTGCCCCGTTGGGAGATATCTCGCTGAACCTGTCTCCCCCACTAACTCCAGACCATCATCACTGAAGGCTGGGCGGCGGGCATCATCCTATGGGAGTGTACTGGGTGGCTCGACTGGACCACCTCCGCCCCCTCCGCCTCGGCGCACTCGAGATTCCATTGCCCGTAGTAGTGATGTGACGGGGTTGAAGGAGAATAAGACACCTGCTCCACAGCCATCCAATGCTCTTGACATCTTGGCTGATCTCACCAAACTCCAGAAAGAGGTGGATGATCTTCGGGGGCACTATGAGAATCGGAAGGTTTAGGGATTAGGGGGGAGCAGCGGGCTGTTTTCTCTTCCACATTTTATTATAGGCTTGTATACATGAATGAACGAATGCATGAATTTGGTGTGTGTTTTACCCGTCTTGGATTTCTGGTATATTCCGAACAAAGTGACTTTGATATGGAAGAAATACGTATGAAAGGCGGGACTGATGTTGTATGGTGGTGGTTAGTGTCCATCATGACAGTGGAGCTCTAGGTTTGTATAAAAGACATCAAAGATATAGTAATATCACTAACTAATATCATCTTCAACTAAATAAAATTGTATAATTCAAATTTCCATTAAGAATAGAGGACTTATAAGCGGAATACTAGATATATTATACAACATAGTTATGTGAGGACTACATATGTTGTACAATATGGTAACCCGCAGTATTGTCCTAATGGCCACTAATGGCCCCCATATTCACCAACGAGGTAAGATATGACGTGGGAGGAAATTAATTATTTAGTTCGCAAAGTTCAAGTCCTCAAGTTCACCATCTCTCCTTCTCCCCTTTTCTCTTTCTTCAACTTTCATCTCTTTTAACATCTCTTACTAAATTACTGACTCTGCTTAATTTTCAGAGAATTAATTCATCTTCATATCTCATCATGACTACCCCAACGCTGATCAATTTGCCTCCTCCCCTATCGGACCCCGTCACTCCATCGGATATGGGACCGTAAGATCTCTCTATAACTCCATCTTCCCTGTGCCTGCATATAACATGGAGAGTATACTGACTTGGCTAATTAACGGGGAAATCAGAGGCACCCCCAACTCCGGCACTACGTCGCTATCTGCTCTCTCGACCACAGCCATCAAAGACGGCCACCAAGGCCAACCATTTCCTCACAGCCACCATGCCCACCAGTCCTCCACATCCTCCACCACAACACTAGAGGCTGAGCGCGCAGACCGCATCTCCCGCCTAGCCGGTCTTGAGCGCGTTGCCACATCTCGCGCCGGTGGCCAAACATCCGGCCAAGTGCTTTCACCTTATGCTCCAGGATACTTTGAGAGTCAAGCACTGAAAGAGCGCAGCACAGTTGGCAGTGCTAGCGCGACGGGCAGTATCGCCGGACGCACCACCTGGGCAAGCAGTAGCGACACATACGACGCCGACAAAATGAGCGAGTATCACGAGGAGGACGGCACCTCCAGTGTTGGTAATGTTAGTGACGAGGGTAATGCCAGTCTAGTTGGGTTTGGCGAAGGCGCCAACAGTACTTACAGTGGACCGATTTCTCGTCCACCTGGAATGAACCGTGTGTCTTCTGGAGGTATCGGGGCACGGCCTACTTCTATGGGTAGCTCGAATGTCAACCGCCCGAATCCGCTGGCTTCATATCTTCAGCAACAACAGCACCATGCTGGGGAGAGCTCTATGATGCCGTCGTCACCGGCTGGGTCGGTGACCCCCGAGCCTATGAATGAGGATGCTCGCTTGGTTGATGGTATGACTTTTGACCCGGACATTGTTGATACTACTGCCAGAACTCCACGATTGGTTTCCACCCCCGGTCACAGCAGCAGTGGCTTTGGTTCACCAGGCCGGGATTAGAGTCTGGTTGATAGTTTGGTAGATTCAAGAGGTTACGAAGGCGTTTTTGTTTTGTTGTTTAGTGGCTTGATGCCTCGAATGGATTGCTTCTCTTTTTTTTTTTTTTTGTGTCTGTTGTTTCAAATTAACAATGGCAATGAATGTAATTATAAACAGAGAAATCTATTATTGGGACATGATATCTTCCAAATATCCCAGTGTCGCCAGTACCCTGATTGGTGTCTTCCCCTCCAAAGATCCTTGCCACCTGTCTTTTCCACGTAAATCCAGACATTTATACATTATTTTCAGGTATGTAGATATAGAGACATATAGAATAATGTATTATCATGCCAGTATATAGTTCTATCCAAGCTCCAATCCCAAATCGAAGCATAGAATCTATACAGTGGTGATTCCCGGCACAACGCGTATACCGCAAATGACGGCATGCCGCCTGAGCCACATCGCCAAACCCGAATTTTCTTCCTTTCACTCTTCAACCACCCCAACTACCTTTCTTCGCCCGACCTCTTTTGCTGGCATTGACTTGTCTAGCAGTCTTCTATTCCGCCGACTTGCTGTTTTCACTTGCCCAGAAACCCACACGAAATCCCAATCCGAGAAATACCCCCGAAAAGCCCGTTTCACTTCGCCTTTGTTCGACTCCCCCGTTATTTCACCGGGTCTGTTGTTCGCTGCGAGGCTATTTTGGTCCTATAAGTTCGCTTTGTGATTCGTGTTTCTTCTTAGAAGAATCCATTTTACCTGGTGTTCTCGAAAAGCATTCGATTTCTCTTCTTTTGGTGGATTCATTCTAGACCCGCGAGTCGAAATCAAGATGGCTGCTCCTACGCAACTTGCTTGTATGTGTTTTCTCCTTCCTCATCGTTGTTCCTGACTTTGGGGTCGTATTTCTCGAGTAGATGAATGGTTGCTGATAGTCGCACAGTCCGCACGCTTAAGGGCATTAGCATCATGGATGCCGCCCCTGTCTACCAGCCCCTTTCTGGGTTCGCGAAGTAAGAATTGAGCCAGATAACAAACAAGAGACTTCGCTGACTCGTTTTCCAGACCAGAGGGCAACCTCCGCTGTAGCGCCTACTCGCCGTGTGGCCGATACTTCGCATGGGCATCACCCGAGAAGTAAGTTGGTTACCCCCCACTTTCACGTCCAAAAATCTAACATTCTTCTCCACCACAGGGTTACCGTTATCGACCCTTCCGTCGGCCAAGTCGTTGGGACCATCCCCGCCGATAATGTGTTCGAGCTTGGATTTTCGCCACTCGGCACCTATGTGATCACCTGGCAGCGCACATCCAAGGACGAGAACGGAGACGCCGTCAAGAACTTGAAGGTGTGGCGTGCCATTGAGGATGGGGACGAGCACTCGGTTGTGGGAAGTTTCGTCCAGAAGTCGCAGACCGGCTGGAACTTGCAGTACACTGCCGATGAGCGACTGTGCGCCCGCACCGTGACCAACGAGGTTCAGTTCTACCAGAGCGACAACCTCTCCACTGTTTGGAACAAGTTGCGCGTGGAGGGAGTAGCGGACTTTGCGTTGTCGCCTGGTCAGACTCAGTCTATCGCCGTATTTATCCCTGAGCGCAAGGGCCAGCCTGCCCAGGTTAAGGTGTTCATTGTGCCCCAGTTCACTGCACCCGTGTCCCAGAAGAGCTTCTTCAAGGGCGATAAGGTTCAGCTGAAGTGGAACGCTTCTGGAACTACCTTGATCGTGCTTGCGCAGACTGAGGTGGATCGCACTGGCAAGAGTTACTATGGCGAGACGACCCTGTACTTGCTGAGCGCTAGTGGTGCATTCGACTCGCGCATTGATCTTGGTAAGTTTCTTTCTTTCTTTCTTTCTTTCGGATTACTACTTGTTGAACTCAACTGACAATCAATAGATAAGGAAGGCCCTATTCACGATGTTAGTTGGAACCCCAACTCGAAGGAATTCGGCGTTGTGTACGGCTATATGCCCGCTAAGACGACCATCTTCAACTTCCGCGGTGTTGCCAAGCACAACTTCCCCCTCGCGCCACGCAACACTATCCAGTTCTCGCCCCATGGCCGCTTCGTGCTGGTTGCCGGCTTCGGTAACCTGGCAGGACAGATGGACCTCTACGATATGGACAAGAACTACCACAAGATCACCACCGTCGAGGCCTCCAACGCCAGCGTGTGCGCCTGGTCACCCGACGGACAGTACATCCTGACCGCGACGACCAGCCCCCGCCTGCGCGTCGACAACGGAGTGCGCATCTGGCACGTTAGCGGCGGTCTCACCTACAACGAGGAGATGACCGAGCTCTACGACGTTACCTGGCGCCCGCAGAGCATCGAGCAGCACCCTCTGGGTGAGCCGCTCACCAAGGTGCCTGTGCCTCACCCCTCCGCCACCGCCTACATGGGTACGCGCAAGGCCCCCGTGAAGCCAGCAGGTGCCTACCGCCCCCCCTGGCGCCCGTGGCCAACTGACCCCGCTCGCATTCAAGCGTGAAGACGAAGGCGGTGCCGCCTTTGTCCGCGACGGTGTGCCCGGCGCCAGCATGAACACTTTCGGCAAGCCCCGCCGTCGTGAGATCCCCGGTGCTGAGCCCTCGGAGGAGTACCTGCCTCCCGGAGCCGCGCCCGGCGGCGGCGTCGCCCTGCCTGCCGAGAACCTGTCCAAGTCCGCCGCGAAGAACAAGAAGAAGCGCGAGGCGGCTAAGAAGGCCAAGGAAGATGGAACTGATGCTCCTCTTGCCAACGCCCCGACTGGACCCAGCCCCGACCGCAACCGTAACCGCGGTAAGAATGCTGGCCTCACGAATGGAAACGGTGCGGCCAAGTCTGCCCCGGCTCCTCCTGCCGCTGCCCCTGCCCCTGCCCCGGCCCCGGCTCCCGCGCCTGTCGCTGCTCCCGCGCCTGTCGAGGATCCCTCTGCCCAGGACAAGAAGATCCGTGGCCTGCTGAAGAAGATCCGCGCCATTGATGAGCTTAAGATGCGTCTTGCTGGTGGCGAGAAACTGGAGGATACGCAGATGAAGAAGATCCAGACCGAGGATGCGGTGCGGAAAGAGCTCCAGGCTGTTGGGTATGATGGTTGATTGGAATTCAACTGATGAGAATTGCGTGATGCTTGACGCCTGACGCCTGATGACGTTGATGCAGATTGCGCCCGTTTCATGGATATATTTCGATCAACCTGCATGTATTGCATT